TTTTTTTTCAAGATAATGTTGTTAATTGTTCTTGTAATTTGTATCTCTTGTTGTTTGAGGAGTGTTGTTATGTGATGCCATTGTGTGAATGTGAAATGTGTTGGTACTGTTTGAATTCTGGATGAAGTACAGTTGAAAGATTGAAAATTTGAAAAAAAAAAAAAAAAAAAATGTGCAGATAATGCTGCTTAATTTCAGGAAAGAAATACTTCCCTTTATTCCAAAGGCAGAAAGTAATTGCGTAGATTCGCAGTTAGATGAAACGATTGACGATTGTTCGGATATTCTTGTCGTTAGCGATTACATGGCTGTTGCAGCTCACAACGAGGATGCAAACGTCGCGCTAGTTGGACATACGTATGTTTGTGTTTTTGAATTTGTAACCATTTTTTGTCTGCAATTGTAATGCGTGGTTCGGGTTTTGATGAGAAGAGGATGAAAAAAAAAAGACATTCTTGATGGTGAACTTTTTTTTGTGTGTGTGTGTTTGTGGCAGATATTTGGTTAAGGGAATTTTGCCGAATGGAGGATCTTTCACTGCTTATACATATGCAGGAGAGCTCCCGAGCTGCGCGTTTGGTTACAATAGTCATGGCCTGGTAATTGATTACTCGTATTTTATTAAGAGTTGAGACTTAAGAGTTCAATGTTGTTTACTGAGAGAGCACATACCAAAAACTCATTTGTGTTTTTAATAACTAATAGTAGTATATATGTTTATGTTTTTGGTAGTTACTGTACATAGAAGTCTAAAGAATGTAGGTGTTAGCAATTGGATAACCAAAAACAACAAGAACAAGAATAATAATAGTAATAATAATAAGATAAAATTCAGCTTTCAGTTTTGGTTGAGAGATCATATTTTTCTGCAGGCATTCACATTGAATTCTGTTCCACCTTGTGTGCATGAGATTGAATGTGGGGCCATAGGTAGAAACTTTATCTCCCGAGACTTGCTCGAAGCGCGGAATATTGACGATGCCTTAACAGTAAGTATGCAGAAATAAAGTAGATATTTACGAACACTGTCCCTTATAAGGTCTAGCTTAATTTCAGAAGTAAAACCACTTTATAAGGTCTAGATTTATGTAATTAGGCTAAAGCTAAGGGGTATTTCTTTTCTTTAACCGTACAGAAAATTCTATACGAAGAGTTACTTATTCTGACAGGAACAATTGTCTGTGTTCCTCCTGGCTTCAGAAAATTTGTTCATCCGAAGCTTCTGTAGGACACAGTTACAATCTTATCGACATAAACAGCCGAAGAATTTTGAATGTAGAAACATCATCAAGAAATCGTTATTCGGTTCGTGAAGTTGGGGCAGAGCCATTTTTTCATGCCAACATTTACCTTCATCTCAAAGTTCAGCAGGTACAAATGATTTTTGTTTGTTAATGCAATTAGGCCCAACTAAAAAATGATAATTACGTAAACCACCTGAGGTTTGTCTAATTACAAAAAAAATCCCCATTTTCTTGTGAAGGAACACGATGAGAATTCATTGAGTAGACATAGAAGAGCTGATATGCTGCCTAAGGGATCGAAAGGTGATTTTCTTTCACTTCTCGGAGACAAGAAGGACATGAAATATCCAATATACATGACAGGTATGTGAAAAACGAAACCGGATAAGGTATTGAATGATTTTTTTTTCAAGTATCATAAGAAGTGTGAAAAGTATTTTTTTGCGTAATATTTCAGGTCCATTACTTCACACCCTATGCACAGTTGTGATAGATTTGGACGAGAAAACTCTCTCGATTATTGAAGGTGACCCGGTTAAAACCGACCCTTCATTTGTCTTCTCAATGTTGTGATTCAAATATTGGAGGCACAATTGAATGTTCTTTAGTTGTCAACTTGGTATTAATTAAGAAGCACTTTTTGCAGGAGGTTAACTGGGTTTTGTGCATGGTTAGAGAAATATATTGTTTGGGTATAATTTGTGGGGTTGGTGACATGTTTATGGGCATAGGCGGTTGAATGGCCCAATCAAGGCCCAATTATTTTGGTGGACCTGGAAAAATATTTATGGAAATTTACACGTATAGACTTATAATAAATAAATATTTACACTTATGGATTCCAATTAAACTTTCATCAGACTTGGAGTTTTGTGGTCTTTATTACATATATACGACATGAGCTAGTAATTTTCTATCTCCATGCATTTATTTACGGCTAAAAACCGCAGCAACAAAGGAAAAATCGAAAAAAAAATAAATGGTGCGTTTAATCGATGGTGCGTTTAATCGACAAACCGGAATAGCCTGGACGGGTGGTCTCTTACGCGACGAGTATGGACGGTGGGTGTCCGGGTTTGCAATGAATATTGGTTTTTGCTCGATCGTGGGTGCAGAATTATGGGGATTATTCCAAGGTTTGTCTTTGGCTTGGAATAAAGGGCACCGCCTTGTGATTGCGGAAGTTGATAGCACCAACGTTGTTGAAATGGTGGTACATAATGGCGAGCACACCGGAATTCATGGCAGCATCGTCCGGGGGATTAAGAAACTGTTGGCAAGGGAATGGAAAATTGAGATTCGACATATCCATCGTGAAGTGAATTTTGCAGCGGACTACCTCGCTTCTCTGGCATCGACCATGCCGGGCGGACTTCACATACTTGACGACCCTCCCATGGGGGTGAAACCGTGGCTCGAACATGATGTTCTAGGGATCGCTCACCCTCGTAATATCGTAGTCTAAGGCTTACGCCTCCCTCTTTGTACCAAAAAAAAAATAAATAAATAAATAAATAAATAAATAAATAAATAATAAATCTGATAGCTATAATTTAGGGATTCAGAAAATTCAAAAACTGAAACGGGATTGTCTGTATATTGAATTGGAAAAAACAAACTTCCATCCAGTTCATCGAAAAAAAAGCTACGATCCTGATTGGAAATAGAAAAAAATTCGGTAGAGCAACAATTTGGTTAATTGACATCTTGAATTCGAAAAAAAAAAAGTCGTTCAACTTATATGTTCAAATATACCGTATATATACCATCATATAAATATGATCTGTCATTAGTCTATTATTAACCGTATAGTTATACATAAGATAACAACATATAAACAATTCTGAGAAAGGAATAAACATAATAAACAATTATGAATGACTGCAAAAATTCAAATCGAATGTAGTTATACACAAGATAAACAATATATAACAATTCTGAAATGGGATTGATTGACCTCACCACTCCCATTGTCACCCCTTCATCTCCTCAACGAGCCACCGTGCATCTTCAACGTGCTTCTGATTGAGAGACTAAAAGATGTCTCTGAGTCGAGTCTTCAATTGTGCAGTCGCGTGACAATCGGCGACCGTTGGAACAGAACACTGCACCGTCGATCTGGGGTGCATACTACCTCCCACGCCCCATCGCAAGTCGTCCACCGGCCACGATTTGTACCCGCCGAGGTTCGTCGGACGCTACGTCGCTCCCAGGGTCGCCGTTCGCGTCGCTGAGTTTAATGCTTCGTGAGATAGCGGCAAAGAAAAGAAATTAATGGAAGAATTTAATGAATTATTGGTCTGGTAATTTGGTAGTTTTTGGTCTGCGAAAAGAAGAATAAGGAGGAAGAAAAATATGAAGAGTGAGAGGGTAATGTATGGGTGA